TTAGTCAATTAAAAGGAAAGCAGTATAAACGATTGACTTGGGGGGGGGATAAAAACAATCTCTAAGGGGTTAAGGGGAAGGCTTTTGTAATTTTTTTTCATGCGTGTTTATGTGGTATGTTTGTCTGTGTATGAACACATATCCAAATGTATGTGCAGAAATGCCTGCTCAAGAGGGCACAAGTGGAAACCAAAGCTGATACGGGCATGTCTTTCTTAGTTTCTTCTCCACCTTACTTTTTGAAGCAGTCTGTCACTGGATCAGAGCTTGCTATTTTGGCAAGGCTGGCCATCCGGGCCCCTAACACTTGGATACAGATATGCTTGCCTCCATGCTAGTAGTTTAGGTGGGTGCTAGGAATTCAAAGATTCTCATGCCTGCACAAGGACACTATCTAAGCCCTGCGTTATAATTGTTTAAACTAGAATTGCACCATTATTCTTGGAAATAGGAGGATACATGCATCTCAGAGTTTTGGTAAAACTCCTAAGGTATGACATTGCTACATAGTTTAAGTAGAGGTTTATTTTTGTTTTTGTTTTGTTTGGGAGGGGTTGAGTTCTTGTTTGTTTTTAATGATTTATTTTTAATTATGTGGTGTGTGTGTGTGCATGTGCACAGGAGTACTGGTGACCATGTAGGCCAGAGGCATAAGATTCTCTGGAGCTGGAGTTACCTGCCTCAAGTGAGCTGCCTCAAGTAGATGTTAGGAACTGAACTCAGGACATGTGCGAGAGCAATCATGCTCTTACCTGTTGAGCCATCTTGGCAGCCCTGGTTACATAGTTTTAAATAAGCCTATATTATTTGCCACACCAGTCTTTCAAAGGATGAGTTGGACTGGACATTGGATGTTATTGACTTACTGGAGTCACTAGTTCATTAGCTCTTTCAACAAGCTAAGTCTTTATAATTCCTAAGTTGGTATTATTTGTGATCTCTGCCCAGTGACTGTCTTTATTTGGATATCTGGTAAGCCCCAGATTCTGTGTTTAATACTAAAGTGGCCCTTTTTTTCTCTTCTGAGTTTTTCCTTATTCCTGTCTCACAGTCATATGAATAGTATAGCTATCATTCCCCTGTCTTAAGATAAAAATCGTAGGACCACCCTTACCTCCCCTGTGTCGCATGTCCCTACAAATACTGTCAGAGTCACATTGCTCCATTCTGTGAATTTTTTGCTAAATTATTTTTGTCCCTTCAACTCTGTCAGACTTTATGTCCTGTCTCTTTTATCTGCAACTTTAGAGACATTATATTATATATAACATAATGGACTAGAGAAAGAGGATAAATCTGGGTTCAAGTGTTAACTGTAACACCTAGTTTGTTAATTTGAGAAAGTCATTTAGTCTTTCTGAGCCTTTGCTTCTTTACATGAAAAGTGAAAATAATAAGTGCAATAATGGAATTGCATGCTTTTGCATTCTTCCTGGATTTGTTGCATTTTTTTTTTTTTTTTTTTTTGAATTCCTAATCTATATTCTACCTATAAACACCCACAATCGCTTACTGCTATTTCAGCTCTTCCTGAATTCTGCTAGCAAAGCAGTTTTTCTTCAGAACTCCATTCCCAGAAGCCATAATACTGTAGCAATTTCATGAACATTTTTATAACTATGGATGTTAAGTAAATGGTTAAAGACACATGTATGTGCATACTTCACTACTAACATCTGCCCAGAATTTACAATACGTATAAACCAATACAAAACCCTTATGTTTGACATCTAAATAGCAAAATTTAAATGTATTTAATATTTATTTTATTATATCAAAGAATTTTTTTTTCTTCCAATAAATTTATCCTACTAAATTTATTTTAAAAAGTCAGGGCAGCTGGGTGTGGTGGCATACAGCTGTAATCCAAGCACTTGGGGAGGCAGAGGCAGGAGAATGTCTGAGCTAGAGGCCAGCCTGGTCCACTGAATGAGTCTAGGATAGCTAAGATTAGACAGAGAAACTCTGTCTTGAAAAACAACAGACAATCAAAAAATTATTAACAAGCATGACATGTTATTTGAACTCAAGTTTTTCCTTTCATTCTTGTCCTTGTTCCCACAGGGCAGTGATGCACCTCTTGAACAAGAAATCAACAGTGCAGAAGCTTACTTTGAAAGTGCGAGAGTTGAGTGTGCAATTCAGACATGCCCAGAACTGCTGCGAAGAGGTAGCAGACTTTCTGCATTGAAACTCAACATGTGTGTTAGATGTTGTTACCAGTGTTTTCATATGCTTAATGAAGAACTCAGAGTACTTGTAGGGCTCTCTGTACTGCTATTTAATATGTCTGCTTAGAAATGATTGCTTGACATTTGACATCTGAACTCATATTTCAGTTATATAGGAGTAAGATTTGTATTTCCCCTAAACTTTGTATTTCTATGCTTATAACTATAATTTTTATAAGTTTATGTATATGTGCAAAGAAGAATCTTTGAGACTCTCATACTGTGAGTTTTGATTATATTCATCTTCATTCCTGTCCCTCTTAGAGGGTCTCCCACTACCTCCCTGAACTATTCCCACCCCCCCCCCAACTCCGTATCTTATTTTTAAAAAAATAAACAGTGGAGTTCATTGGTATTACCCATGTACTTCTGGGTGAGGTCCACTCACAAGAAAATGGTTAACCTACCAGCAGCCACACATTCCCCCACAGCCCATCAACTGTCCATAGTTCAGTTAAGGTTGGGAACTTGTGAGCTTCTCTACTTCATGCTAGAATGTTGTCCTCACTTTGTGCAGGTCTTCTGCATAGCCGCTGTGAGTTCTGAAGTCCTATCGTGTCCATCCTTCCTGAACTCTGAAAGCTGGTGTGATGTAGACGTCCCATTTGTGGCTGTGTACTCCACAGTCAATTCTCTGCATTTTGACCAGTTGTCAGAAAAGTCTTAATGATTAATTCATTTGAAAGTTTATATTAAAAGCAAAACAGTGTAATAGAGCTTAACTTTCAGAGTTGTTTGTATTGCTGTTTCAACTCAAAAACTGCATTCATTTACTCTTCAGAAGTGGCATGTTTGTCAGAAAAGTCTTAATGATTAATTCATTTGAAAGTTTATATTAAAAGCAAAACAGTGTAATAGAGCTTAACTTTCAGAGTTGTTTGTATTGCTGTTTCAACTCAAAAACTGCATTCATTTTACTCTTCAGAAGTGGCATGTTTGTAAATCTGCCTTAGTACAGTAATTTAACTTAATTTCATCTTTCTGAGTAAGTTATTTCTACAAACTATAGCTCTTTATGTAAAGCTAATTGTTTTCTTCTTGGAATTTATATTCTTATTTTTAGATTTTGAGTCACTTTTTCCAGAAGTGGCTAATAGCAAACTAATGATCCTGACTGTGACACAGAAAACTGAAAATGATATGACTGTTTGGAGTGAAGAGGTAGAACTTGAGAGAGAGATGCTCTTGGAAAAGGTAACTCTCCCAGTTTCCTTATGACTAAATGCTGTCATATTTAAATGCCACTGCGTCAGTTGTGTTGACAGATGATTATGAAAATCCCTCTTACATGCTAAGAAACTTGAACTTTTGCTGGACCTCCCAGATGAATTAATAACACACATTGTGGTTGCTTTAGACTTAAACTGCTATCAGACTGTACAGTCAGCTTGTGTTCTTAACCTGCCTTTAAGAGAACAATGTAACAACCACCTTTTTTGCTTTGGATTTCCTATGTAATCAGTGTTTACAGCCTAAACTACCGCATAGCTGTAATCTTAGGTTATTCACTCCTTTATGCCCCTGACCAAAAATAATGAATGTGTGTATGTTTGTATTGTGTTAATCATTTGCTGAAAGTAGCCAACAGATTGCAAGCAACCTCACATAATAAATAACTGCCTTAAGTGCTGGAAACCTGGATATTATTTGATAAGTGAATGTTTGCTTTTCTGGGTGCTTCTGCATAAGCTGGAGTCAGTGACTTAATGCCTCGTAAAACTCCGTTAACGATTTCTGTAAAGTAGCCCTCATTCCTACCCTATGTAATGCTTTTCTGGGTTGTTAAATAAATACAGAGCAAAAGCCCTTTGTGAGGGAGACAGACAGAGACAGATAAGAGGGCATTCAGGCAGAAACAGATTCAGACTCATGTTGCTGACAGATTATAGATAAGCCAGAAAACATAAGCTTCAGGGAGACAAGTAGAGAATTCAAATCTGGGCTCTTTCTCTGCTAAATTACCCCAAGAGGAAGACTGATTTCTTTAGCACAACACCAACACATATTGATAACTCCTGAATTATCACGAATGCATTTAAACAATGCAACTACTATCTTTTACACAAGAGAAATTGTCTTTTCTGGCCTGTGTTTGCTCTGTAAAGTATTTCAAACACTGAAGAAATGGCACCATTTTTCAGTGCTACTTTCAGGGACTGCAGCGATAGCTCAGCAGCCAAGAGCACTTGCTGCTCTTCCAGAAGATGTGGTTTGATTCCCAGCACCCACATGGTGGCTCACAACTAATTCTAACTATAGTTTCAGGGGATTCCATTTCCTCTTACGGCTTTTGTGAGCACCATGCATACATATTGTCCACAAACATACGTGCAGGGAAAATAGCTATACACATGAAATAATAATGCCTTTTAAATGCCACTTTTCTTGGTATTCTTGAAACATATAGTTCCATTTATTCCTTTTCTGAATTTTTCTAAATATATTACTCCAACACTGTCCCTTTCCTGCATTTCTCCTACACCCTCTATAGCGTATCAAGTAAATAGTGAAAAACAACCCAGTCACCCCTAAGGAATCAGTGTGACAGGATACTTACTGTATGCATCTTTTTCCTGCCCTTTGCTTTTAACCTAAAGATACATTTTTACACCTCTCTTTAACTAGTTCTTATAAAATCTGCATTATATTATTAGTAAACTATAATTGTAAGTTATTTTAAATTTTCTGATTTATAAATTGAAAATCCAACTTTTGTTTTTACTGGCACAGCTGGGAAGAGTCATTGTTAATGTACATTTTTATGAGCACTAACCTCCATAGACCCCTACATAGAAGATGGCTGAATTACTGTCATTTTAAATTTTGATAGATGTTGATGATATGCCTACCCCAGAAATTATTTTAGTATATATGCCATGGCCCTAGCGTACCTTATAATTTAACATTCTTTTTATCGCATAAAATCTTTAGATAATTACATACATATGTATTTAATAATTTAAAGCTATATAGTAAATTACCTTAAAGTTGATGTTGGGTAATATGAATCTTTCTGTAGGACAAAAAAGAGTATTCCTTTGTGTGATAGATTGAGAATGAGTCATTGAGTACCTTAGCTTAGTCCCGTTGAAAATTCCCCTTATTGGTTTCCATGCAAGGCACTGTCGGGTGGGCCCTTTACTACTGCTGAGGGTTATCAAGGTGGCCTCTTCGTTTGTGATAGATAGTATTATAGTTTATATGTTCAGCAGTATGTTATGTAGTAGCATGCTACTCAGATGTACCACATAGAGCTTACTCATACACGTCATAGTGTTTTAACAGAGATGAGCATATTGTATACTAATTAAAATGGACTTATATAGAGGCGTACAACATTCAGGCTAGTGTGGTAGTCTGCACCTTTGATCAGGAGACAGAGGCAGGTGGATTTCTGGGCGTTTGAGGCTAGTCTGGTCATATAGTGAGTTCTAGGACAGCCAGGAAAACATAGTGAGAGAGACCTTATCTAAAAACAGACAGACTTTCAGATTTAAGAGAATTTAAGAAGGCAATAAATAACAAACATCTTATTTACATAGTAAAGCCTTAATAAATGTATGGTTCTCATCACATAGTAAGCTGCCACAGCGCTCATTTGTATGCATCACATTAGTAGTGCTGGTTTGTGAACATCTTAAAGATTCTGGCCTAATTTGATATTGACTCCAAGATAGTTTTTCTCAATTTCCTATAACTAGTGTGACTTTGTACAGACTAAATTGCAGAAGCTAAATTTCTGTGGGTAAATATTTTAATTAAAATATGTTAATGATTTTATTAGACCCACTTTTAGCTTATTCTCCATATCCAATTCTGATTTTTTTCCAGCAGATGTCAGTGTTTGTCTTTGACAAATAGAAATCCTAAGTGAAATTTGCTGGTGCTCTTAATGAGATTCTTTTAGTTAACCTTTGTACATGCTTGATTGTATTATTTTGTTCTTTTTAGTTTTGGTATGACTTTTTTCATTAAGTTGGAATATGGTCTAATGACTTACTTTTAAGACTTACAAAGATTATGAAATACAGCAACTAATGTTAATGTTGAGTGTCGGTGATAAACTAGAGAATACAGTGTTATTTAATATATCACCAGTTTACAAGTAGATATGGAGAGAAAAATTAGCATAGGTGTTATGCCTCCCGTAGGAGTCTCTAAACTTCTTGTAAAAAGTGTCAAAAACATAATCAATGTAGTTCTGAAGAAAGAAAAGCTTGTGACAAGTGAGTGTACAGTTTGAATACAGTGACTTAGGAGTGGCACAGCCCCGAGGAGAGTAAGCTGAGTCCTCACCCTGCCATCTGCGCAGGAAGCATGTATAGACAGAAAGCAGACATGAAGTCCAGAAACACTATGATGGTAGCTCTAAGTTTGCCTGACTGAGCATGGTGTGATCAGTTGGCAACTGTGAGGTGAGCAGTACTCAGCTTTGTGTTATAACTAGGAACAGAGGGAAGGGGAAGAGGACCTCCCCTATCAGTGGATGTGGGAAGGGGCATGGGAGAAGATGAGGGAAGGAGGGTGGGATTAGGAGGTGATGAGGGAGGGGGCTACAGCTCAGATACAAAGTAAATAAACTAATTAATTAATAAACCAATAAATAAATTTAAAAAATTCACTCCTAAGTTAGGCTGGACTTAGGCTCTACCTTTGTAGTGTGTTGAGAGTCAAAATATATAGATCAGGGGCCGAACAGAAGACTTTGGCAGTAAAGCTAGAGGTGCTAAAGAAAGTAGAAGCAGAACAAGGTGTAGACAAGTTGGTTCTTTCAGAGTTACTTTCCTTACAGGATAGAATAAGGAGGGCTTTCTTACACTGGCTGAGGTAAAGTAGGCCCCTTCTGATTAACTGGTTGCTGTCAGTTTTCTGGCTGTTTTTGAAAACTGACCTATTTTGGGTTCAGTTTGATTACTAATTACCTGGCAGTACCTTGAGTAATTCCATTCCGGCTTGATGTAGGCTCCCTCACTAGTAGCAACATGGTGGCTCCTGTAAACTTTTAACAAATCTCAGATATGGTCATCTTCTTTAGCCACTGATGATAAGAGCAAGACCATAACTTTGATTACAGTGTATTTATATGCCTATGATAGAGTTTAGTTTATGTCAGCAGCACATTTAAACATTAACGATAATTACTGATACTACAGAATAACAGTTGCTTTAAACAAAATTATGTAAATATGGTCTCTTTCAAAATACTGTTTTTCTACTTTTTGCTTAAAGGAAGTTTTTTGGTTTTTTTGTTTGTTTTGATGTATGCTGATTGCAAGCATCACTGTCGTTACACAGTGGGGTCATTATTAAGGAAAATGATAGTCTGCACAGTTACTGGGCTACCTCGCAGTTGATCTGATAGTCAGGACAGTTACTAAGTGTCTAATAGGAGGGTAGCATGAACACTAAACCAAGAGATATTCATATCCCAGGTAGGCTGGCCAGATGCTGTGAGATTTTATTATACTACTCAGAATGGTTTGACATTTAAAACTTACAAATTATTTAATTATTTCTAGAATTTTCAGATTACTGTGTTTTGAGGTCAGTTGACCGTAGATAATTAAAATCATAGAAAATAAGATCTCAGACAGGGGATTTGTGTATTATAGGCATCTTGGACAATCCATCTCAGCTATAAGCTTTGCCTTTCACTGTTAAAATAACCATAGGCATTAAATAAATGAATGGATGTAGCTGTGTTCGTAAAATGGCTTATCCAAACAGGCAGTAAGCTTGATTTGCTCTAGAACTATAATTTACCAGTGTTTGTAGCTCATAGTCTGCATTCCTAAGTCCTGGCCATTAGAGTCATCATCAACTGAATGCCACAAGTGCTGTGTCTCTTCACTCTTGATGGAACAGAAATCCATGTTTCCCAGCACTCTCTGACCCCTGCATATTACCTTTCAATTCTCAAGTTTCACACCTAGGTATTTGCTAGGTCTGCTCAAATCAATCTTGGCTCTTGCTTACTCAGCTCAGCTTTCTGCTAAGCAACCAGGGTGAATTGCCACTCAGGAGCTTGTTGTATGTCTGCCTCTTTGCACTGCTCTGCCAGACAAATTGCAGATGTTTCAGCAGTCCAAAATTCTTAATTTTTGCCTCCTAAACTCAGTGACATCACTACTTTGCTTGGATTCCACTCTGGCCTCGTTTATTTTCTGTTGCTACAATTACACCAAAACCAACTTGGGGGAAAAAGGAGTTTATCACAGATCATCATTGAGGAAAGTCAAGGCAGGAATTTAAAGCAGAAATCTGGAAGCAGGAACTGAAGGCCATGGAGAAACACTGATTACTGGCTTGCTTTCCGATTCTTATTCAGCCTACTTTATAATCCAAGACCACCTGAGTAGAGGTGATCCATCCATTATTGGCTGTATTTGGATTCTCCCTTGTCTATCATTAATCAAGAAGATGCCCTGCATTTTTGCCCACAGGCAAATCTCATCCTCTTCCAGAACACCCTGTCTTGTCTAAAGTTGACAAAAACCAGCATCCACTTCATGCTTTTAAATAAAAGGTTTACAAAGATACAAGTAGACACTTGCTCCCATTTTCTCAAAGAAAGAAAGCAAGACCACAATCCTGACCTGTACTTATGGTATTTAACAATCATACACAACATCTAAAAGACACACAAGTTTAGAGAAAAATGGGTATCCTACTTACTCCTCTGCTCCATGTACCTGTATATTCAGATGTGTTGTTTTGATTTAGGCTAGGGCATTGGGCAAACTGGAAAAGTTCTCTATGATTGAACTACAGTCCCATTTTAGTTGCCTTTTCAGAAATATGGGTAGATAGATATAGTTGAAGGATACACAATAATCGAATCTTTTACAACTTTATGGGTGTTTTGGCTACATGTATGTCTGTGTCGCATATGTGTGACTGTTACCCACAGAGGCCAGAATAGAGAGCCAGATGCCCCTACTACCCATGCAGGTGCTAAGAATAGAACTCAAGTTTTCTGGAAGAACAGCCAACAGGACCATCTCTGGCCTTTTCGCAGCCTCTGTTAACCAATGGATGGGTTAAATCTTTTTTTTAATTTTTGCTTTTTGCTTACCTATTTGTGATCTTCATTTTACAAAAATAAAAATAAATAAGCTATAGTTTAAACTTTAGGACAGATTTAGGAGGTAATAGTATAGAAATGATGTAGATATACTTTGTAAATAAAAGTACAAAATACAGGTTTCATTATAGAGGTAAAACTTGTTTTAACCATTGGTCTTTTGAAATGGTGAAAATCTGATTTACAGTCTTAATTTGCTTTTTATTAATCCTATAGTTTTCTCTGAAGTAAAAGATACTTATTTAACATTTTAATTTAAGAAATATAATTTGTCTGAGTGATGTTACATCAAACATTGATGTTACCTTTTCCTCTGCAGTTCATTAATGGTGCTAAGGAAATTTGCTATGCTCTTCGGGCTGAAGGATACTGGGCTGATTTCATTGATCCATCATCTGGTTTGGCAGTGAGTAAATACACTTTGAAAGCCATATTATATGAAGTAGATAGAGTTCTTATTGTAAAATCATAGCTGTCCTATGGGCCAAAGAAAATTGAAAAACAAACAAAAAACCCATCCATTTAGACTTTTTTACAACTCAAAATATTATCCAAAGAAGTTGAATTAGTGTAAAGCTCTTGTTTTCACAATTCTAAGAGACATTTTTAGGACTGGTTTTGTTAATAATAATAATGAACTTATATGTTTACTCTTTGTAAACTAAAACTTAGAAATTACTATGGTCTAGCCTGGTTTCTTAAATGACCAAAGTATTTTGAAGGTAATATAAAGTATAAAAAAATTTAGAGAATAACTTTCTGAAAGTTTTTATATAGTCATGGTCACATACTTCAATCACAGGAAGTAATAAAATCACTTTTAATTTTAAGAAGAAATACATATTTGCTACTTCTCAGAGTCAAGTACCATGTCATATAGACTAGAAGACTCTGCCTTTAGTCCCCTTTCATAAAAGTGATGGAGATGAATCATAAGGTGGTTCTCTTAGACTTCATTCTTCTTTAAAGTTTGTGTCATGCTATGTGTTCAGTTCTAGATGAGTCATTTCTTATTTCCAGCATGCACAAGAACTGGGAAGGGTCTGTTAGAATAGTCTAGGTTTGGAACGTGACTTTTTATTGGATTAAACATGTTTTGAAACATGTGTTTGCATTTACAGAAATATTCCTACAGTGTCTTTCTCCCTAATGAAAATATTACTTCATTTCTTATTTCCTCTAGTTTTTTGGACCATATACAAACAACACACTGTTTGAAACAGATGAACGCTACCGGCATTTAGGATTCTCTGTTGATGACCTTGGCTGCTGTAAAGTGATCCGTCATAGTCTCTGGGGTACTCATGTGGTTGTAGGGAGCATCTTCACTAATGCAGCAGCAGACAGCCATATCATGAGGAAGCTCAGTGGAAACTAGCCTTGCACTGTGATGGTTGCGGCACTGCCTGTCTGTAACGGACTGCTCTGTATACATACAGCTGTGGACTGCAGCTTCTACAGGATTCTTGTTTCTAGGTATTTATTTCATCATTTGTGGTTTACATCAACAGGTGACTTGGGATTTCAAATTGCAAATGCTAATTCATATTCTGGAGTACATGTTGAACACACATTCTGCATAATGAGGTCATCAACATGTACCAGGGTATATATGGTCTCTTATTGTTAATTCTCCCCTTTATTGGGAAAACTTTGTTTTTTTCCAAAAATAAATGATACATTTGGCTATGATGACTTGTGTTTCTTTATTGCAATAGTTTAAAAAAATACAGCTATTTAATAGGTTAATGGTTTTTTTTCTTGTAATACTATTGATAATTCTAGATTCACTGAAGACTTTACTTTTTTAATTGTTTTTTTTTTTAACTGCTATTCTAAATGGCAGTTAATTATTTTGAAGGACTGTCAGCAGGAAAAAACAATAGTAAAAGTAGTACATCGTTTACGTATAAAAAGTAAATCAGATGTGGTGCAGCAGGCACAGGTAATGACAACACAGCGGGCAGAGCTCCTCAGACTGTGTACTGTCCAAGGCCTGCACGTTGTCCCTTAGCTGTGTCTGGCCTGAGCCAAGCTAAACAACTGTGCGACCGCATGGACACCTCTGGAAAGCAGGCTGAGGCAGTGGCACTCGGGGCGCAAGGTGAAGAACTCAACAGTCCTTTTTCCTCGTCCTCTTCAGAGGTTTATACAAAATAGCATACAAGAACTATGCCAAAACAGCGACCTTAGTCAAGATGGCCAAGAACTGGAGTGCTACTGAGAACGCTTTCTGCCAGGCTGCTCACATTTCCCTACAGCTCCAGAGCAAACAGGATGCAGGCAGGTGCTTTGTGGACGCTGGCAATGCCTTCAAAAGAGCTGACCCCTGGGGCCATAAACTGTCTGATGAGAGCAATCAAGATCTATACAGACAGACATGCGCAGATTGACGATCGTGGCTAAGTACCACATCTCCATTGCAGAGAAGAGACTGGTGGTGGTGGTGAAGGCCATCACCCACTATAAGCAATCTGCATAAGACTACAAAGGTGAAGAGTCCAAAAGCTCAGCCAACAAGGTCTGCTGAAGGTGGCTGGCTGTGCCCCACAGCTGGAGCAATACCAGAAGGCTATCGACATCTATGGGCAGGTGGGGACCAACGCCATGGACAGCCCCTTCCTCAAGTACAGCGCCAAAGACTATGTTTTCGAGGTGGCCCTCTGCCGCTTTCTGCATCGTCATGCTTAACACCAAGTTGGCTGTTCAGAGGTATGATTCTGGCCTCCTCGGATTCCCGGTAGTACAAGCTAATGAAAAAGCTGCGGAAAGCCCAAGAGGAACAGAATGTGGACAGCTAAACAGCTGGTGAAGGAATAGGACTCCATCTCAAGACTGGACCAGTGGCTTACCACCATGCTGCTGCATATCAAAAAGATCGTTCAGAAGGACCTGCTCTGCGCCTCCAGCCACCATCTGTCCATCAGAGGTGGGGCCAACACCTTCCACCAGAAGTCTGAAGGCCTACTGGGTACGATGCGAGCCACATCCTCGAGGGCCCGGGGCAGGCTCTGCTGGCTGGCTGGTCACCTCTGAGGCCCGCTGTGTCCCTCACCCTGCCATTTATTTAAGCCCCTCAAGGTGTCCCCCTGCCCTGGAAATCACCTGGACAGGCTCACCAAAGCAGATTTCTCTGTGCCGCAGGAACCTGGGGTCAGCATCCAGTCCTATCCTGACCAGCTGTGCGCTAAGGCTGTTTCCATCTCTCCTACTTGGTCCCCTAGCAGAGACAAGAGCATAGGTAGCTCTGAGACTTACTCTCCATGACGGGGTAATCCTCTGCCATGGGAGTTTTCCCCTGCTCCCTATAATGCGAGCATCTCAGCTTAGCTCCAGCCCTGGAGCTCACAGGGTGCATTGGCCCTGCTCTGCACCAGCCTCTTTCCCTTCATCCACCTGAAGCTGCAGCTGGCCCAAAAAGAACAATAAAACTCACTTTTGCATGAAAAAAAAAAAAAGTAAATCGATTTCATTCTTAGATTAAAAAAAAAAAGAACAATTCTTAACCCTGTAGTTGACACAGTTAGATATTTTTATATAACTTGATGCCTCAGCTCTAAATCACATCACTTACTCCATCCCTCCAGAGGTGCCTAGTTTTCTATTACTCTACAGTGCTTATTACACTGTTATAAACTTTAAATGAATCATCTTTAATAGCTGAGGCTTTTGCCAATCAATCTTATTGATAATATATTAAGTGGTTGGTTATTTAGTACTGTGATACGAGAAAAAGCCTCAGGCATCCATTTCATCTTACACAAGGCCATACGAACATGAAAGTGTATAATCTCTGACTAAACAACACACTTAATGTAAGACCCAGCACAGGATTCTTTTATTTATATATATTGCCTATTCGTTCTTAATGGCTATCAAGAGGTCTACTAAGCATCCGAAGAGTCCCAGAATTTAAGTTGAAAGAACTTTAGGGTTAACTAATGCTAGTGCTACATTTAGTAAAGAAACAAATTGTGCTCTGTATAACTTCAATTTCTTTTAAAGTCTACTGAAATATATATCTTTAAAATTTTAATTAATGCTTATCAAAAAATTCAACTACACTACAGAACTTCTCTCACTTTAATTTTAAAGCTTGTGTGTCTGTCTTGGGCTTCCATCACTTTTAACATCAACTGAATTCTTATACTTGAACAAAACTCTGTTTTCTCTTAGAGCTGGTTCTAGTATTGCTCCAAAATAGTGTGTATCTACCTCTATATTGCTTACACTTTGAGTGGATAAGTCTTTTTTTGGGGGGGGGGGTCCATTTAATACAGTGTGTGGTTTGTTTAGCATCACCCTGGCTCTGCCTACTTAGATACAGTGGCAAACCCCTGATGGTAACAAAACTGTTTCCAAACAGCAAAATTCTATTAAGGGACAGAATGCTTTCTTTTTTGAAGTCAATTACAGCCAAGTGTAGCATATTTTATCTAAGGGCTTTGCCTGCACTTGAGAAACAGTGTTCCAAGGCACCTCATTCCACAACTTCAGCTATATATTTGGGTTACCTAAAAGTAGTACATAATGTGCCTCCACAGTTACAGATTAATCTCATTAGCCCATAGGGGTTTGAGTAGCAGTGTTGTGTTTTTAGCTTTCAGCTTTCTTGGTATGGACGTTGAACCATTAGTGCATTCAAAACTACAGCAATATTGGGTGAAGGGGATATTTAAGGAAATAAGAGGAGGATATTATGGATCGACTGTAAGACAAATATGAAATGAAGGCTCTATGAAGGCTCTAGGATTTTACATTAGCAATGACTATCAGGTGCAGATCAATTTGAGAACTTCTGTAGTAGTTAGCCCTCCTCACTGCTTTATCTCTGCTGACCTCTTCTCTTCCCCTGTGTAGGATAGTACTTGGTTATTGCCACACTGTTTAGAACTTAATATTTCTCCTACAATGCATAGTCTTTGGTTAATACCATACAATTTTGCTCTATACAGAAAACATTTTTTACACTGGTTTTTTTGTGTTGTTTTAGTAGAGAATTGGGCTTTATGTCCCAGGTATGAGAGGCAAAATCAGAGACAAACAAACAAGCAAACACCAAAACAACACAAAACTTTTCATTACTGATTGGATATTTTAAACTTTAAAAGCTACCTGATCGTTTCTTTATGTCAGTAGTATACCTATTAGTTGTGCTTACAGCATTTGACTCCAAATTATTCCTGGAGGTTATAAATACCTCATACCACATCACTCCTTCACAGAGCACATGAAGTGGTTGTTTGCTTGCTTGCTTGCTTGGTTACTTGGCTAACGTAGCAGTACAGTGAGAAGAAACAGTCTTTTCAGGATGTTTTGTGGGCTAGCAGATAGAGGAAAGGAATGGGTTGTCATATGTACCATACATCACACACACAAATTACTTCCAAGTGGATTATAGGTCTACATGTAAATGGTTAAAGCATTCAGCAAGAAAATTACTTTTGTGAACTTAGAGTAGGCAAAAAAGTTTGTTGAACAATATAACTGTGCAAGCAAAATCTGATCATTCTGATTTGATTCAAGCTAGACTGTGATCAAAACCTATCGTGAAGAATGCAAATAAGATTGAAGGTTACACACACATACGTACCCAAGTTCAGCAATTACATAGCAAACAAAAGACTCATCCACAATAATAAGCCTTAAACTTGGTAAGCAAAAATAAAATAAAAAAATTGTAAAGAAAGATATCCAAATGGCCAATAGCCATGCATTATTTTATAAACCATCAGAAATACAATTAAATCCACAGTGCTGGATTACTACATTCCCTCCAGAATGGCTAAAATAAAAAAAAAAAAATTATACCAAAAACTGGTAGAGAGCAACTTGCACTAAAGTGGTAGAAGTTAAAAGCAACACCAAAAAAATCTGATGTTTCTAAGGCTTCCCATATGTAAAAGTCTACACTAGCCATATAGCTGCTAAAGTGAGAAAGGGCTGAGATGCCCATCAACACTGGACTGAGTGTGTCAGCAGGCTAACTCACATAAATGGGGTGGCAAATAAAACAATGGGAAAATGTTTATGGTTAGTTGAAGCAAAGGTGAAGAAATGGCATGAAAGCAGCCAAAGAGAAGACGTGCTGTTGCCAGCTCAGCTTACCCAGGAAGGGGAGGGAGTGCTGTTGGATCTGGAATGTCCCCAAAGGTTCATGAGAGGTGGTAAAACTTTTCAGAGGCAAGTCCTGGTGGAAAGAAGTTAAGTCCTTGGGGTTATGGCCCCTTCATCTCTTTGCCTCCGGCCACATGAAACGAACAAGCTTCCTGTCTCTTGATCCCACCATGATAAACTGCACCTAAAGGCCCAAAACCTATGGACAGACTAAGCCCAAATGACACTGTGCCCAAATGAACCTTTCCTTCTTTACATTGACTGTCCAGTGTGCGGATGTCATTTTCCATAACCCAAACTGACTAGCACAAAAGAGAAAAGGGATTCAGGGATGCTGCTAATGTTCTCTTTTCTGAATAAGTGATTTAATTGTGCAGACTTACAAGTACTTTTTTGATATGTATGGTATGATTAAAAGCTTTAAAAGTACAACCAAATATATTCTTTAAACAGTGATAGAAACTATTTTTTAAAAATTCTAGTTTCAGCAAAAGAAGTTCAAACTTTCAACTATGCATTTGTGCTGATATTAAAATATCAACTTATAAAGCATTTAAACTTTTCTTGCAATATTG